GTAAGTACTTTTTTGGTATATTTGTTTTATTTTATATAATATAATTACTTTTGGGGTTCAAAAAATGTTTAGAGACTTTATGGCTTAAAATATGAATGTTCATTGGCTTTTTTTTCATGTTTTTTCCATTATTTTTCTACGTTAATTAGTTTTATAGGTCATAAAAATATATCCAACAGGTTTTAGAAAGTCCAAGAAGTTGTTTAACATGTTTTAGAATGTCTAAGGACTTAATCATTCCAAATCCTAAAGTTTTTTTAAATTTTTTCCTTATATTATTTTCTTTAGTTGAGCTTTAACAGTCTGCTTTTTATTTGACTAAATTGTTTTTAACATCTCTATTCACACATATTTATACCTTTGAGACTTTAGCCTATGCAACTTTCCAACAACCATGTATGACCATTAAAAGTGATTATATTTTCATTCGAGATTAAACTGGAGGAATGAAAATCCGTTCTCTGTTATTTTTATTTTCATTTTCTAGTATGAACCAAACAGCCCCTTAATATTTATAATCTTCTTTTAGAAACCAAACAACCCATCCAAACACAAAACCAATTTTGAAATGTATTAACATGTTTGAAAATACAGTGTTGTTTCATATGTGAAACGTTCAAAGACTCTTTCTTTCCACATACAAAACATTCTTGAACGTATCACATATTAAACAATGCTATATAAATACTGTATTTTCAAATTTGTTGTTTTACATGTAAGACAATACATAAAAGCAGGTTTATAATTTTGTAGAGTTTATTAGGTTTCTAAATAATTAAATCTATGATTAATTAATTTTAGTAAATTAGGTATTATATACCATATCCATCTATATATATATATATATATATTTATATATATATATATATAGGTTGGTTATTATACAATTCTTTACATTTGTACAACCAATACAACCTAATCTCAACCGTCCATTTAATTTGATGAATATGTGATTTTATAGAGGTTTTGATTGTTTCCTAATATAAAGTATTGATCATAATTAATGAACTCTATTCATCTTCCATAAATATTCAAATCATAACAAATAAACTCTCATTATTTCCATAAATATCTCAATTATTTGGGTTGCATTAATTGTATAAATAGACCTGGTTGTATTTGAAATATATCATATATATATATATATATATATATATACT